AAACTTGAAAATGGAAAATCAAACAATTAGAGAAAACCATAAAGTTACTAGAAATAGATCCCAGGTAGGACAGGTTTGTTTCTACGGCACATTTCAGTGGCAAGACACTTCAAAGTGCTGAACATGTGAACGAGAAAAGTACATTGGCATAAAAAAATATATATATATAACATTAAAAGAAGACTTGTAAAAAAAAAATAAAATAAAATGGGGCAGAATTTGGACTGAAAACTAATAATGTTTAGATAAAAGAGTCAAAGGTCTCTTAAGGGGAGTGGTGGCCTAGTGGTTAGGGCANAATTCAGTTTATAAAGCACCAATTCACAGCACATGTCCTCTCATGGCACTTTACAGAGACAAAACAGATTGGTTAAAATTTTCTACCAGGGAAAACCAGTTAATTGCGTCAAGTCATTGAATTATAAGAAATTCTCTTCCTCAATGAGCTTGCGGAGATCATTTTTGCTTGAATTTGTCGTTTTTACAGCAATCCCTCACACCAAGCATGCATGCAGCGACAATGGAGAGAAAACAAAACTCACTTTTAACAGGATGAAACCTCCAGAAGAACCTGGCTCTGTGTCAGTGGCCTTCTACTGAGGAGATGGAGGAAGACACGCTAAAAGCAACAAATATACAAAAGGTTAACTGCTAACTAGCTCTACAGGTGGAGCGGTCCAGGAAGGACAGTCAGGCAGAAGAGCTCCAAGCCGGTTCTCATGTCAGAGGATGAAAGAGAGCACATATAGTCATAGTAAAAGAAACAGGACCACTGAAAAAGCAGGCCAAGCTCCAAACAGATAAACAAAGATGTTGATTCAATCCGATCCAAAAATTCTTTATTGATCCCAAAAGGATATTAAACAATGATGATGTTGATGGCAGCAGCCAGGCTGATATGTCAATCCAAGGTGGTGTCACAGTCAAACAGGAAGAGACCAGATGAAGCTACTATTATGAGAAAAAAGATAGAGGGCATAACGTTAGAGGTTGAACTGGCAAATATTGCGGAATGGGATAATATAGCTAGAATAAGCAGAATGATGAAAAGTGGCCCCTATGTCATCCAGCAGCCTAAAGTTACAGTAGCATAATATATAGAATATAGTTCAGGATAACCGTACTATTTTGGATGAGGTATGAGAAAATTAGAGCCACGGACTTAAGTCTGTCTGGACCGATTTTTCCCCCTGCTGGATTGGGTTTTCACTCTATCTCCTCCTACTTTTCTCTTCACCCAGGTACTAAGCAACAACTTTAAAGAAATGTTTTTAAATCTTGATATAAATGAATTGAGGGTTTCAGAATTTTTTGTTTTCTGGGAGTTTCACGTTTCAGCTGCTTCCCTATGTTTGGTTCTGGGAATGCAAAGTAGACTAGATCCAGCAGACCTGGGAGGTCTGAGTGGTTGATCCACTGGCAGCAAGTTTTATGTATTTTGGAGGTAAGCCATTCAGTGATTTATAGACTTACATGTTGTTTAAAGTCTATTTTCTGAGATAGGGGATCCAGGGCAAAGACTTTAGAACTGGGCTGATGTT